GTATTTGAGTCAATGCAATCAACTGGTTTTCCTTAGATAGAAAACTTTGTATCAATTTGACTGTATGATATGGTTGAACTGTGAAGTGCCTTGAGATGACATGTGTTGTGAATTTGGCACTATATAAATAAACTGAATTGAATTGAATTGAACTTACCTGTGCTCTCCCTAACCAGAGTGCCAGGGATGGGCGGTCCCCTAGCCTCCTCAACTGCCGCTGCAGATCCACAGCCCCAAGTCCTGATTATTTTTTAAAAAACGTTCTGAATTCGTCTTCTGGCTGTCTCGCCTCGAATACTGGGTCCTAATTTCCGAGCTCGTTACACAGATAAAAGGGTTGTACACATTTCAAAGTGTGTACTTAAATTTTTTTTTTTTTTAATCACTTGAACGTCATTAAACAACTTACAATTTCACAATATCTCAAGGTGCTGGTATGGACAGGACATGTTGGACACATGGAAGGTGAGATATATCCTGAAAGGAGTAAAAGGAGGACACTGGATGGACTGAGCAGAGAATTTATCTCTTGCCTTACACTGCAAAATCTCGGAAAATGAGTAACCTTTTCTCAAAATAATTGTATTTACTCTTAATTTGAGTAGGTAAATAATGAGTATGTGGAATGAGTAGTCTCTACTCTTAAATTAAGAGTACTAGATATTTGGCATTTGAGTTCATTTTTCTTCTTTTAAATGTAAATTGTCTTATTCCATTTCCAAAGTCTCTAACTCACCTGCTCAGTTCAAGAAAAAATGCACTTATTTTAAGAAAAAATAACATACTTAGATTTCAGTTGTTTCGCAGTGTAGAAATGCATTTTAATGCTACGTTCACACCGGACGCAGCAGGCGCAGCAAAATCGCGTCTGCTGCTTAATTTTTGCTGCTTGTACCAGTTAGTTCTGACGCGTGGCTGAAGCAGCTTTGCTGCTCTGGCTGCGCGGTGCAAAAGTGGGTCTGACACGCGTTGGGCGGAGCTTCACTATCCTTTCTCTGCCTTGCAGCTATATTTGCTGTGATCAGTGGGAATAAAGTAGTTTTGATATGTTTTTAAGTGAGAAAATCCTCCTGAAAACTTAATCAGTGCAGTCAGTTCATCCAGATTACCATTTCTGTCTGAGCCGCTCAGAGCCCCACATACCAGCGGTGCACTGTCAGTAGGAATCCTATTCAACAGCAGTCTCTGGCCTGGTCCCCTCCTCGCGGTTCACTGCGGTGGCTGGTAGGTGTTTTTCATCTAAATAATCCAAACTGCAGGCACCAGGATTATAAAAGCGAACATATTCTGCCGGCAGATTTCTGCATTGCTGCGTCCAGTGTGAACGTAGCATAATGGAGGTTCTATTGGTTAACCAAACCTTCTGATCGGAGGAGTATTGTGGAGCTTGGAGTTTCATCTTTTTTCAGCTAACCTTTCATTTTAAGCAGATGTGTGGTTAATTGTGTTGATAGTGTTGCTCCAAACCTGTTTGCAACGTCAAATGTGAAGTGACAGACAAATATCCTTCTCGTTAGCAGGGAAAAGAGGTGGCTGCTAACCAAAGGGGATTTTAAATGGGGAAAGTCCAGCTTTAAATGAAGGGTGAGAATTATAATTATATTCCACCCAGGGGAGATGCTGATTCAGTTCACATGGATTGTTCTTGATGAGACAACGGGGGAGGCTTCTAGTTCCTGGTTTAGTCATTCTGACCGATTAAAGGTGGGTAATAACCTTAGGGAGAGAGACATTTGGTCTGAATCAATGCAGAAACTGCTTTCTAGTCTGAGGGAGGAACTGGGGTCCACGTTCATACTGCAAACACTATCTACCTCTCTATAAATTAGTAAAAAGTCCTTAAAATAAGTGTATTGAACCTTAATTTGAGTAGGTATATAAAATGATCTGCCAATGGAATTAGTGTTTTTACACATAAAATAAGATAGTTAGATATTATAGACTTAGAATAAGATAATGCAGTTGTTGTTTTTTTCTTATTTCAAATGTACTTTGTATTATTCTATTGGCAAAGAGTCTCACTTACTGGCTTAATAAAAAAAAAATTACCTATTTAAAAAATATATATATATATTTTTTGTAGTTAGACTCAACTTTCCCTGGCATGCCATTGGTCTGAATACATGCCTGATCAATAGTAGTAGTATGAAGAACTGAAGGAAGTCTGAAAAGATACCAAGTGGCAGGGTTTAGAAAAGTGGTTAGTGATGGTTAGAATTGTGGACATAAATAGTGATGTTGGAAGTCCAGATGTAAACTATACATCATTTTAAAGAGCTCTAAAATTTTTTTTTCTTTTTAGATAGAAACATGCTGTGTTTCCTTAGTTAAATATCTATATTGTTTTGTATTATCACAGTTATTTTTATAAACTGGACCAAATGAAGATTCATAGCTACTTCAGTGGAAACTAATTGGGATTCTAATAAATAAATAAAAAATGTTCTAATGACTGAAAAATAACGTGCAAAATGCTGTGATCAACTAAACTAAATGTTAAAGTGTAATTTACAAAAATGTTCTGATATCAACAAATTAAAGGTGGATTTTGTGTTTTGTTTTTTTACACATTTTTTCTTTTTTTTTTTCCAGTGTTCAGTTATGCTTCTATACTGTTATTAAGATGCACAAATAAATACAATTAAATGTAAAAAATGCAGGTAAAGAAAACGGGAAAACATCAGCTTTTTTATCTGTCCTTGCATGTTTTTATTTTTTTTATTAAACTTTTAAATATTGTTACACAACAAAAATGCAGGTAAAAAAAAGACAAAACATCAGATTTATATATCTGTTCTGGTAAAAAAAAAAAAAAAATATTAGACACAAAAAGAAAAAAAAATGTTTTGGCAATTCTCCATCCTAAGAAAATCTTTTCTCATGACAACACTAAAGTCATAACTATTTGATTCTATAGAAAACAGTCAGTGTACTGTTTGTAAATTAATATACAATTACATATATGTCCCCCCCAATATAGCTGAAGGGGGATTAATATCTAAACAAAATGTGCCCAATTAACCAGTTTCTCTCCCTAGAGTCATGTAGCTCATCAGCATTACAGTAGGTCTCAGGTGTGTGCTGATTTATTTTCTGTTGACAGCAAATGTACACTGTTACACAAGCTGCACACAAAGGGTCATATCTTTAGTGTTGTCCCATTAAAAAGGCATAAAATTATACAGTGGTGTACTCAACTTGGAAACTGTATTTAAGCACACCTTTACATCCCACACAATAATGATCTGTTGGATAAAACCCTTAAAATCAGGCAAATCAAACGCTTGCTAAGTATGTTAAAACAAAAATGATCATGCTGATTTCATGGGGTGACTTCCATTTTAAATGAGGATTGAAACTTTTATTTTTAAACCCAGTTTTCTTTTAATAAAGTCTGTTGAGATTAACTGAGAAAATATGTTTTATGTCTTTAATGGTAGATCTCATGGGTGGGTGATATTGGGAGCACACTGCGGTTGTAAGAAAGTCCGTAAATCGGGCTCATCTCTGCATGCCTCAAGCTCTCCACTTTCCCAAATTGCCGCAGGTGGAAGAGAAGGGTGAGCTTTCGGGTCATGGTACGAAGCGCCAAGAAGGAAGCCAGGATTTGAGCAAGTAGAAAAAAGAGGTAGATAGAGTGGACAGCTCTCTCCAGAGGCAGAATGATAACCCCTTCATCAGTGATGAAGAACAGCAGTATTGGTGTCTGGAACGTCAAAGACAGGAGCCAGAAGGCTGCCAGTGCTGGGACCTGATGACAGGGAGAAAAGGGACTGAGCCTGGTGCATGAGCATTATTTAAAGATGTTGTTCTTATGTTACTTTCACTGTTACAAGCACATTAAGAACAGCACTATTTCAAAAACTGTGTACAATTTATTTATATAGCACTTCATTAAATCCAACATGTATTAACATCACTTAAACATTCCTAAAGTTTATAGACCAACACAAAATATTGAGAAATTAAAGGGAAAACAATACATGTTGTATAAATGTGTTTACATATTAAACTGAATATACATTTTTTTTTTGGACTCTTTTGCCTTTTATTTTCAATTTAGTCACAGTTTAACTACAGCAGTTCGGCTTTGGCTTTACAGACTTTTTTTTACAAAGCATTGCTGATTCATGGTAAGTTTAAGACTATTATGAGGGTTAAGATAAATAAAAAACAGGCATGGAGACAAGAGGCGAACAAAATAAACTAGTGAAAAATGACAAAACTAAGGGCTTAAGTAAAGTTAGATGTCTCCATTGAGTGGAACTAAATCTGTTTCCCAAAGATGAAAGGACGTTTCTGTCTAAGTGTCATGGTGGGGGCATACAATTAAAAAAATTCTAGTTTTTATTGTAAAGGTGTTTCTAACTATATTGAAGCAGAAATGATGAATTTCTATAAACATTTTAATGGCAAATGTTTTGTTTTCTATTACTTTGTGTTGGTCTGTCATCAAATTCTGATGCAATGAAGTTTAAGATTAAAGCTTAATAACAAAGTGAAAATTTCTTTGAGGTATTAATACAGATGCATGTCAAGGCATACGGTATAACCAGAGCTTTTTGTTGTGGTTTAGAGAGGATCTGGCTCTAAAATACCTTTTCTTTAAGGTTGCCAATGTATCCCAGGTAGAGCCTGATGACTTCAATCACTGTAACAAGAACCAACCCGGTTATGAGCAGCCCCTGGTAATATCCAGGGAGGTAGCTGAACTGTAAACGGAAAAGAAAGATGATGAGAATATTTCATGATAAAAGAACAGATTATATTAGAAATCTCAGAACCCTCTGATTGGTCCCTTTTCAATGTTTAAAATGGATTAAAATTAACTGTTTTAATTTGATGAAGATTTACTACTTTATAGAACTTCAAGGCAAGAAATGTACATAGGTAGCTAAGTTTAAGCTCTATTGTTTCCATAATATACTTGTCTTCTAGTTGTGTCAAAACAAGGGTTGATGACATGCATTTTTGTTGGTAAATTTTATCAGAATTTTAGAAACTATTTTAAACATTTAAACAAACATAAATTATGATATAGACATTCAGAAAATTTGATAGGATAATTTCAAAAGGTTGTGTAAGTTTTGCAGCTAAAATAAATGTTTATTTAGTTGAAGTGAGGGAAAGTGCACTCATATGAAAATTGTCGAGGGAAACCACTAGATGGAGCCAAATTTAAAGCTTTTTTTTCTACTTTAAGAATGCTTTTGGGGCTTTTTTCTACATTGGAAGGTTTATGAATGTACCTTTTTTCATCTGTTTTATATTAATATATTTTTTTACTTATTTGAAAGGTTTAATTAAGTTTATGTGACTTCAGGTTAAAGGTTTTCTTTATTTTTACTGGTGTCACCTGATAGATCTACAACTAAGAGTTTAGTGTCTGCAAAGCAACCAAAGCTAATCTAAGCTGAGGGGGGATTTTAAATTTAAAAAAAATAATAATCAAATTGATAAAAGAAAAAAATCTAAATTTATCTTCCACTGATTTTACTTTGTAACTCTATCTAAAATATTCTCAGAGTATTGCATAGATTAAATACAAGTTTCTCAATGACTTACTTTCACTTCCAACATGAAAACAGCAGAAAACCACCAACATGGAAAGTAAAACAAATTGAAGTACAAGAGCATTTGAAGAGGAAGATGAGAAACCAGTTCGTTGACCACTGAAAGACAATTATAAGGAAATTTCAAAGGTTTGTGATATAAAAAAAATGTTTCAACTAAATAAGAGTAGTACTACTGTATATTATAGGTAATACTTTTTTAAATCATAACTCATAGCTGGTGATGAGGATTGCAACATAACTCTCACAAAACAAAAGGTTGAAACACAACTGTGGAAAGCTCACATTTTTCCATATGCCTAGATGGATTTAGCTTCTCATCAAGCACATAATATACAGTTATATATGTTCTCTCTATAGATAGATAGATAGATAGATAGATAGATAGATAGATAG